GTGAACGGTCCATGGGGTACCGGGGAAAATCGTAACCCCAGAAATCACAATGTGCTTCTTTGCGCCCCATATGGGTGGTCTGGAAGCAGCGGTACCACTGTGCCATAGCCTCCGAGAACTCAATCATCCGGTCACGGTGACTTGACACTAACTCCATCTAAAAATGAGCATGACGGAGGTCGGTCAAAAGACGCAGAGTACTTGGCATAATATGGAGTAAATGTAAGGAAAGTTGTCAACCATAGACAAACGCTACAGATAGTGAAAACATGCATATTATTCCACCATCATTACATCCTATTGATCAACTTCCATCAATATAATTTGCGTTACCTTGTGAGTAGGGCTATATTTTTCACTTCAATCTGGGTTTTCTTTGGTTGGAAAATGCCTTCTATCACTTGTATCTTAGGTTGCTTTGAGGAATTCGAAAAATGAATATAAACATGCGACAAATATGTTGTTTTCCGAAAGCAAGAGCGTCATTGTTTTACGCGATGAGGATTCCAAAAAAGAACATATTTTGTCCCGCAAAAATTGTCAGTTAATTTTTATTTCTCTAGCCTACAGCAAATATTTGAATGATCGAACAATTCAGTTGATTGTCAAACATTTCGTCTCTCCTCAAAACAAGCATTAGGTTAGGCCTTATCAAACATGATCAATTAATCAATATTTTCTACTAAACGTTATTAAATAAATCACCGCTGGGTGGTAGTGTTGTTCTACATTTCTGCCCTTAAGCAGTAAGGTGATTCAGGGTTGTGACTGGAGCAACGTTTCCCAAACTCGGTCCTCAGGACCCCAAGGGGTGCACGTTTTGGTTTTTGCCCTAACACTACACAGTTGATTCAAATAATCAAAGCTGTGTAGTGTTAGGGCAAAAACCAAAACGTGCACCCCTTGGGGTCCTGAGGACCGAGTTTGGGAAACGCTGGACTAGAGTGAATACAGCTACGACCGGAAGTAACTTTTCGTAACAGGTTAGGAGAGCATTTTAGCCAGTGCTTAATTTGAACCGGATCCTGCCGGAACCTTTCTATAAGTCAGTTTTGGATTGTTTTGTTCCAGAACCTATTTGGCCAGATCTGTTACCTCTTGTGGCATGAAAAGTAATTTTCACTTTTTGCAATGTAAAAATTATAATAAAAGCGTTCAAAGTTAATTCGAGTTGCCTCTTCATTAATTCTGCCCCCACAAAAAAAACGTTATGTGAAAAAGTTGATTTTCAGCCCCGGGCCTAATATTCGATTTGGGTTGGGACGGCCCGGGTTTATGGTTTTATGGTTTGAGACCAACGCGTGGCCGTGGCCGTGTGAGAAGTGAGCCAGTATCACTCGCATAACTAGAATGAGATTCACTTTCTTTGCTCTGATAGACATGAGCCTGCAACTCTCCTCTCTCCAGCGTTGCACTTCATCATTTATTTCCTTATAGAATCATCGCCGTGGGAACGGTGCTGGAGGATCTGCAGCAGCCCTGATGAATTTAAATACATTTGCCACAGTTATAGAAGTACTGTTCTGTTCAGAAATAAATTAAAAATCATTCAAAATAGCCAAATACACCACGAGAAGGCCTATATTTTAGCCACAGAGGATCAATAGCTTTTTTTTATTTATTTTTATAGCCTAGCTATGGATTGTAGCCCAATAACAAGGCATAGCCTACAGTCGGGAACGCGCGGCAAATCTGTCAGTAAAAAAACAGCACGCAGGCAAACAGGCCTTTCGCAATATTTCAAATACAAGAGAGGGAAAACACAGGCAGAAACCCACCTTTTTTTAGCCCCACATATTTAGGGCTTGCCTGTTTTGCATGTTATTTTGGCATTAATACGTGTCATATGTCGGTTCGCAAACAATGTAAAAAAAAAAAAGCCACATACAAACATGGTCTCTTTTTTGCTTTCTTGAGTAAGGCGGCTCCAAAATGCAGGTGTTTCAGCCTAGCTCAGTGCTTTCTGTGGTGGTGGGGCAGCCAGCGGGAAATATGGAGCATAGGGGTTGTTAATGTTCTCTAGTTGCGCTGTGATTGGCTCAGTGTTCTGTCACTCTTGGGGACACTACATCACAGCCAAATCTAAGGGTAGAGCTCGAAAATTCAAGCCCCTTGGATTGCTGCCATAGAGTTACATTAGAAGTGCCCATCCAAGAAGGCTCAAGGTCATTGGCCACAGATAAAATGACGTCAAATCACGTTATATCTACAGTAGCTTTGATTGGACTGATCATGTCAACATCATACTTTCAAAATCTTAGCTAGCAAGCTAGCAGTCATCATCATGAATCAAGTCGACAATCTACTGGCAAATCCTTTTTATTCCTTGTCATATGAAGAGAAATAATGAAGAGAAATGATACACAAAATGTATCGGAGCTCATCGGCCATTGGACATAAACATTACACAACAAGTTGGAAATCGCAAATTCAACAATGAGTGGTTTGGAAGGAATCAGTGGCTAACTGCAAGCATTGCAAAGCAATCACTAGCCTGCTATTCAGTGGAGTGGGTGTGTGGTCCCAAGTCTGGGTTTAAGGGTTTATTTTCCAAACTTAAAATTCTAAACATTCAACATTGGCCATGCTGTCAATCCAGCATGATTTCTACCACGCTCAAAACAACTGTTAACTCGGAACTGGGAAATCTGACTTCAATGAGTTCAAGACAATTGGGAACTCTGGAAAAAACGAGCTCCGACTGGAAAAATATGTTTTGAATGGTCTTCCAACTCGGAATTGTAAGTCGGGAACTCAGGCCTCTTTCTACAGCTGCACCATCGAGAGCATCCTGACTGGTTGCATCACCGACTGGTGTGGCAACTGCTCGGCCTCCGACCGCAAGGCACTACAGAGGGTAGTGCGTACGGCCCAGTACATCACTGGGGCCAAGCTTCCTGCCATCCAGGACCTCTATACCAGGCGGTGTCAGAGGAAAGCCCTAAAAGTTGTCAAAGACTCCTGCCACCTTAGTCATAGACTGTTCTCTCTGCTACCGCATGGCAAGCGGTACCAGAGCGCCAAGTCTAGGTCCAAAAGGCTTCTTAACAGCTTCTACCCCAAGCTGTAAGACTCCTGAACAGCTAATCATGGCTACCTGGAATATTTGCATTGTCCCCCCCACCCCACCCCACCCCCTCTTTTATGCTGCTGCTACTCTGTTTATTATCTATGCATAGTTACTTTAACTCTACCCACATGTACATATTACCTCAATTACCTCCACTAACTGGTGCCCCCGCACATTGACTCTGTACCGGTACCCCCTGTATATATACTCCCTACTGTTATTTTATTTTACTGCTGCTCTTTAATTATTTGTTTTTTGTTATTTTCTACTTATCTATTTTTTACATAACACATATTTATCTTAAAACTGCATTGTTGGTTAAGGGTTTGTAAGTAAGCATTTCACTGTAAGGCCTACACCTGTTGTATTTGGCGCATGTGGCAAATAAAATGTGATTTGATTTTGTAGTAAGCTGTTAGTAGCTTCACCCTACTGTTCTGACTTGGTGGTACACATGTAGCCTATAACCTGTTTTAGAGAAATATAATCAGATTCTGTCGCTGTACATTTCAAAAGTGCTGAACAAATAGTTATATTGACTACGTCTGTCCTAGGTCGCTCATTAATGTCTTTATCGAAATTACGGATTGCCTCTTATCCGCTCGTCGTTCCCTTATGCCATAGTTTGTACATCTCAATTGTCAGTAGAAACCACATTTGTTTAAGCAAGTCAGCCATATCAGCTATGTTTTTTTAAAGGCAGTAAACTGTTTCGCTGCCAGACAAGCCTCCGTTGATAGCCAGGTGTTGAGACCGCTTTAGGCCCAAACAGTTTGTAGGCACCGTTTGTCACCGTGCAATTAATGTATTGTTTAGTGTTGTGTTGTGTTGTGTAGTGGCTTTGCTGGCATGCATCCCAATGATTTTTTTTTTTTTTTTGCCCCACAGAGATTTACATGCTAAAATCACCACTGCAAATGGCTAATGCTGAAAAGAGAAGACTCTATGCTGTAGGCTACCAAAATAATACACAGTAGGCTTTTGGCACGAGCGGATCGGCCATCACCAGCGCGTGAGCTGCACATCATTGGGTGAGTCAGTGAAACTGGAAAGCATTTTTAGGACTTTAATTTCCTCCTCATATTGTAGCCTACAATATGTGTCTTTACACACCTAGGCCTAGGCTATTGACGGATTCAAGACAAGGTCGTTTTTATTGATCTCAGATTCTCAGTTTGTCAGTGTCAAAGTAGCCTGCCATTTTGATCATTTGTGCGGTATTAAAAAAGATTCTGCCAAAGTCTCCAGTCATGTAAAATGACGTAGAATTGCTTGAAATGTGTTTATGAAAGGCCAACATTTCCCAGACCATAGGCTACAATTTTTTTTCCTATGTGCAACAACTTCTGTAAGTGCCTCAACTCTACTGCTCTATGCCACTACTCAAATGCGCTGAAATGCATGCAATGCTTTATTATATAGGGGATTATATAGGTGATTATATAGGTGATGCGTTCCGGTATCTCAGAACTCCCCAGGTCACCCCCCTCTCGCGTTCACTTTTTGTTCAGACACGTCCCGATTGACAAATTAAGAACTGATTTTAGCTAACCCTAAACCTTTTCCTAACCTTAACCTAAGTCTCCTAACCTGCCACGTTAATTATCCTAACCTGCTACATAAGTTCTCCTAACCTGCCTTGTTAATTATCCTAACCTGCTACGTAAGTTCTCCTAACCTGCTATGAAAACATCACTTCCAGTCGTAGCTGTAGTAGCTCTAGTCAGAACCGTGATTCAGGAATACAGGATGGAGGGATTCATTCATTTGACACAAACACTGATGCTGCTTTTTTTATTAAGCAAAGTAAAACATAAAATGTGGGTGGAGTCTTTGGCCACAATTGTTTCATATAGCTTAAGAAAAACCAATAGAAAATACCATTTATTTCTGTTGGGACAAACAAAAGTGGCATTGTTGGTGAATGTGGTTATGACTGGCCGCTGGGCTCGTCAGACACGGGCCGGATGGCGATCAGCGCTTGGACCAGAAACTCCCTGTGGGCGGGGTTAATGGTCATGTGCCTCTGCACGGCCCAGCGGAGAATGTCCACCTTTTGCCCCAGACTCTCACACTCCCTCAGCTGGGCTAGTTGCCAGATCAGCCTCTCCCTCTCATCTCTCTCCACCGCACGCTCCTCCTCAGCCTCTTCCTTTACAGGTGGGGGGCAGCGGAATAGGGGGGTCTCGGCAATGTCATGGCAACAGAGCAGGAAGAGGCAGTCCTTGGAGGCGCAGAGAGAGCGGGCGGCACGGGGCACCTTGGGGGAGGGAGGGAGAGAGAGAGAGAGAGAGAGAGAGAGAGAGAGAGAGAGAGAGAGAGAGAGAGAGAGAGAGAGAGAGAGATTAAAGATGAGAGTACTAAGAATAGGTCTTCTTCTTTGGTATTATGGCGTTCACACATTTAGTTTGTGCATGCCGCCACCTACTGTGCAGGAGTGTATCGTCGATCACGTTCAATTTTTTGTCATAAAAAAACGAACCCTCCACTATTACATAAAAATTAAACACCCCATTCCACTACTTTGACCCTAACTGACCCTAGACCAGTCCAACAGCCTGGGAGGACAGGACTCTTTTGTTCAACACACCTTGTAACTCTTCTGCAGTGAAACCTCGTACACCCAAGTACTTCTCTGCAGCTGCCACCACAACATCTATTCTCTGTGATTTACGTTCCATTTCTGCGGTACAGTTGGTAACCATGGCAATAAATGCTAAGAGCGCCAACCTTACTGAAGCACTAATTGGAAGTAACCCATCATCCTCTTCTCTCTTCACTGCCTCAGCATATGACACCTTCTGTTCTACTCTGACCCTGGCATCCTCAACCTGTCTCTCTCGCACCGGTCACTTCTGATCCCCAGCAACATGGGCACCCCCACAATTTGACACACCACAGTTTTTTCCTCCGATACTACACATTCCTTTGTCCCATGCCCTCCTGCAAACTTCTCACATCTCGGAATCTCCCTCCTACACAATGCTGCAACATGACCATATGCTTGGCATCTGAAACACCTTAGTGGGTTCGGCACAAAAGCTCTCACGGGATAATTTACATATCCTATCATGACTTTGTCAAGTAGAGACTCTGCTTCAAAACTCAGAAGGACAGACAATGTCTTCTCAGTTTCACTACGCTCGCCACCGAGTCTGTGTCACACCAAATGGCGGGCGTCACAGACACAGGGAATCTTCAACTTCAGTAGCTCCACCTCAACACTTAACGCCACCCCAGTAATCACTCCTTTCAAAGGCGCCCTGCTCCGGAGAAGTCACAGGCTTTGTCCCGAGGCCTGTGACGTGAAGCGTCCACTCCCTCTGGGGCGGAAGAAACACAGAAAATGATCACTAGTCCACTTCCAGTTACCTTCACCCATTTAACAGTACTCTACGTCTTTCCTACCCAGCCTGAGACTACATATGGATCAGCCAAAAGGCAGGGATCCACTTCCTCCAAAAGTTTCACTCCCACTGGGCCAGAATCATCCTTTGCATGACCATCGGGGCCGAGGCTTGGACTCTGAGGTCTTCACCACACCTGCCACCGCAGGTACAGTAATTCATCCTCTTGTCAGGTTCAATTTCTGAGACAGCAGAGTACGGTTTGTAGTGCTTGGCGCCATTCTTCCTCAACACACATCTTCCCTCTGCACTCGGCTCTTCTCCTTCTTCCTCGCTGTCCATAACCACATCTCTCCATTCACCATGCTCATGCCGAGCCTTCATCCGCTGTATCGTTTGCAGAACACACACTGATGGCCTTTTCTCCAATACCCAACTGCTGTTCCTTAGCCCGATTTACCATGTCTGGCTATCTCTGGCCTCTCCATGCTCGCAAAACGTGGGCTACTCTGCCTCTGAGGGCAGCGTCCGTCTCACTCCTCCTGTCGCAATGCCTGATGGTCAATCCCAAACATAGGTCTATAGCTAGCTAGATAATTAACCAATCAAACAGCGAGATAATTCATCAATCACACAGCTAGATGATTAACCAATCAAACGCCCAGAGGGAGATTACAAAGGGTGCAGCCTTACCCTGATGCTCAGCTTGACAAACACAGCGCTTCCCTTGGAGCAGCCGGGCAGTCGACGTCCTCCTCCACAGCCACAGCCCTGTACTTCCTTCACTCCAGACTCCCCCTGCAGCAGGGCAAGCGAGTGGTTCAGTCCACACCACACCTCCACTGGAGTCATGGACAGCACCACCTAAAACAGAGGAGAGGGGAATTGTTACCTGATGGATTTTGATATTGTTGTGTTAGAAATGTAGTTTCAACTGGAAACTGGACAGTAAAGGCATACAAGAGAGGAAGCACAGACACACCTCGGTGGGTTCGCCGCGGTCGATCTTATCTCCTGTGCCAAGCTGTCCGTAGCGGTTGCTGCCCTGCATGAAGACGCGGCCACAGTCGTCCAGCAGGCACAGGTGGCTCAGTCCCAGAGAGCACTTCACCACCTAGCAGAGGTCAAAGGTAACTCAGTTGTAGGTTTGAATCCTGCATGCATGGACCATATATAATAATGGGCCATATATACTAATGACCATATATAGTAATGACCATATATACTAATGACCATATATACTAATGGACCATATATACTAATGACCATATATACTAATGACCATATATACTAATGACCATATATACTAATGACCATATATACTAATGACCATATATATACTAATGACAATATATACTAATGACCATATATACTAATGACCATATATACTAATGACCATATATACTAATGACCATATATACTAATGGACCATATATACTAATGACCATATATACTAATGGACCATATATACTAATGACCATATATATACTAATGACAATATATACTAATGACCATAGATACTAATGACCATATATACTAATGGTCAGGTAGACTGTTTGGAGTGTATAACTGACTGAAAAAAAAATAAGATATCCCCTCCACTACTGAAACCACTGATATATATCCTAATAGACTATATATACAATACTCTTAGAAAAAAAGGTGCTATCTAGAACCTAATAGAGGTTATTCGTCTGTCCCAAAAGGAGAACCCTTTAAAGAACCCTTTTTGGTTCCATGTAAAACCCTTTCCACAGAGGGTTCTACATGGAACCCAAAATACTTCTACCTGGAACCACAAAGGGTTCTCCTACGGGGACAGCTGTAGAATCCCTTTAGAACCCTTTTTTTTTTCTAAGAGTGTACCTGGAGAAGTGTTAACTGTTGCTGTGAAACAAAAGTGTGTTTGGGGCAATGTGTATCAGTACCTTATAGGGCAGGGAGAGCGGCAGAGGGGTGTGGATGTCATGGGGGTTGTAACCCTGCTGGGTCCCAAAGAACTGACGATACACACCAGCGGAGTGAACCTCCAGATAGACTGAACCCTCACCTGAGAGCGAGAGAGGGTTATGACAAATGTTTATACTAGCTTGGATGTAAAACTTTCATTTACTGAACCAAGGCTTCTTTCCAATGGAGTCACTCCCGAAACAATGCTAACTGCGCTGTGATATTCACCTGTGAGGCAGAGGACGCTACTGTAGCTGGTGTGGACCTGAGCGACGGGCAGGTGAGGCAGAGAGATGCTGATCTTCTTCAGAGCCAGATGCACGGTGTAGGAACGAGGCGTGTTCATCTGGGTCTCATTCACAGACAGCGCATAAACCTTCCCAGTATCTGAGGGTGAGAGAGAGAGATACAATTCAGAGACGAGGAGAAATGAGTCGGTTTTTTACTTACTTACTTACTTCATTTATTTGTCAGGGACCTTGTAAACTATATACAGTGTATATATAATTAATATATATATATATATATATATATATATATTTAAATCAAATTTAATTAATTACGTTTAATTCACGGTGTGGCATTCAGTTGTAAAACTCCCCACATCAAACTTTAAATTGAAAATCCATTTGAAATGAAAATCAACCAATCAGACCGTCTGATGTTCAGAGACACTGACCAGTGACCAGTAGCAGGACCCTGTTGACCTCAGAGCCGGTGAGGCGGAGCTGTATGAAAGTCAGGGAGGGGTGAAAGGTCATCCGGAACACCCTCTGGCTGGTGTCCTGCTGGTACACCTCCACACAGTCACACCGCGGAGGGGAAGGAGGGGGGGCCGAGCCGGGGGGGCCGGGCCAGCTGGGGGGTGTGTCCTCTGCATCACCGTTGGTACGGCTCACCAGGACGTATATGTACTGACGGAAGGAGTTGTCGCTACGGGGGTCCACGGCAAACTATGGGGGAGGAGAGAGAGGAACAGAGAGTGTGTGTGTGTGTGTGTGTGTGTGTGTGTGTGTGTGTGTGTGTGTGTGTGGGGAGGAGGGGGTTATAAAGTGTTCAAGCTAAAGTTTAGGTTCTATTTTTTGGTTGTCCCACCCTACCTGTCACACTCCAACTTCTTTCCTAGTCTCTCTTAAAAGCTAGTCATACTATTTCAATACTAGCAATACTGGCTAGCTAAATAGCTTGAGGATACCTCCCTTTTACTTTTACCCCCGACTCACATCTTTGGCATTCTGACACAGCATAGCGTGGCGTGCGGCCCTCCTCCAGGTCATGTGACCGCGGAGCGATGACGTCACGGCGTTGCGCAGCAGGAAGATGGTGCCCTGGTAGTCAAACAGCAGGAGGTGGTCCCGGGTGGGCAGGGACCTTCTGTAGCCCAGTGCCAGGGGAGGAACCACGGCCAGGGACACAGAGGGACCCCCGGACCTGCACCACTGGGGGGTCCGGGACCCCCCACCGCCCAAACGCTGCATCTGGAGGCCCTGGGAGTCTGCGGGGAGGAGAAAGAGGGTTACGGAATGTCTTGAGTGGAACTGATTCAATAGATCATTGTTATATTTTGTTGATTTGATCTTGTTTCATTTTCTGTTTTTCTCAGGAGACAGTGTTTTCATATGTGATGGTATCATTCATAGTGGTCAAAGGATGATGAATACTGAACAAAAATATAAACGCAACATGTAAAGTGTTGGTCCCATGTTTCATGAGCTGAAATAAAAGATCCCAGAAATGTTTCCATCCCTGTTAGTGAGCATTTCTCCTTTGCCAAGATAATCCATCCACCTGACAGGTGTGGCATATCAATAAGCTGATTAAACAGTATAATCATTACACAGATCCACCTTGTGCTGGGGACAATAAAAGGCCACTCTAAAATGTGCAGTTATGTCACACAACACAATGCCACAGGTGTCTCAAGTTTTGAGGGAGTGTGCAATTGGCATGCTGACTGCAGGAATGTCCACCAGAGCTGTTGCCAGAGAATGTAATGTTAATTTCTCTACCATAAGCCGCCTCCAACGTCGTTTTAGAGAATTTGGCAGTACGTCCAACCGGCCTCACAACCGCAGACCACATGTATGGCGTTTGCTGAGGTCAACGTTGCGAACAGAGTGCCCCATGGTGGCGGTGGGGTTATGGTATGGGCAGGCATAAGCTACGGGCAATGAACACAATTGCATTTTATCAATGGTAATTTGAATGCACAGAGATACCGTGACGAGATCCTGAGGCCCATTGTCGTGCCATTCATCCACCGCCATCACCTCATGTTTCAGCATGATAATGCACGGCCACATATCACAAGGATCTGTACACAATTCCTGGAAGCTGAAAATGTCCCAGTTCTTCCATGGCCTGCATACTCACCAGACATGTCACCCATTGAGTATGTTTGGGATGCTCTGGATCGACGTGTACGACAGCGTGTTCCAGTTCCCACCAATATCCATCAACTTCGCATAGCCATTGAAGAGGAGTGGGACAACATTCCACAGGCCACAATCAACAGCCTGATTAACTCTATGTGAAGGAGATGTGTCGCGCTGCATGAGGCAAATGGTGGTCACACCAGATACTGACTGGTTTTCTGATCCACGCCCCTACCATTTTTTAAAGGTATCTGTGACCAACAGATGCGTATCTGTATTCCCAGTCATGTGAAATCCATAGATTAGGGCCTAATGAATTCATTTCAATTAACTATATTTCCTTATATGAACGGTAACTCAGTAAAATCTTTGAAATTGTTGCATGTTGAATTTATATTTTTGTTCAGTGTATATTCAAACAGAGCAAAATACATTTGATTAGCTCTACAGACCCAGTCCCTCCATCTATTCTTACATTTCAAGATGGCTGTCCTTCGCCAGTCGTTGGGCGGGGCAGTGGAAGGCTGCTGCGTCCCGGTTGCCTGGCGATGGCAGAGCCGTCTCCAGAGGGAGGAGCTTAGGCTCAGCTGGTAGTAGGTGCTGCAGGTGGCTCCAAAGGCAATGACATCACTGACTGACACTCTGGATAGAATCTCCTCCAGCTTGAGTGTGATTGGTTGGAGATTGAGATAGATCATTTTATGAGTAGATATACAGCAGAGACCATCATGTCACAATGTTCAAACCTATATTCTAAACCTGCTTAGATTGACAGTTTATGTAACAAATGGGAAAGTTACACTTCCAGTGTGTGATCACATGTGTTTAATAGACTCATTTTGCACTTTACCATTTTAATGATACTCTCCACACAGTGTTATGTCGTTATCTCACCAGCTCAGGTGGCAAAGACCGAATAGTTGTCCAGTGTTCTACACCATCCTTAGCTGGTGGGTTAGTCCTTCTCCTCTTTGGCTTGAAACATAGAAGCGCTCATTTTCACTTTTCTGACAATCTTTTATCTATGAATTTCACTTTAAGAAATACTGTCCTTATCTCAACGTACCGTTGGTGGCGCCTCAGCTCTGTCATACCCACAGGCGAAGTTGGAACGGAGCTTTCCTGTCTCTTTATTTGGCCTCTCATCCATTTCTTATTAAAAAACGTTTTGATTTTAACTTAGAAAATATGAAGTGGTTCCTCCTTTGCACGTGTGCAAATATTTGAAAACATTTTTCAGAATGTCTGTTCTTTGAGCCAGTGTTCTAGAAGTCGTCATGGTAAACTTTGTTTTGGAATCATAAGCTATTGTTGAGTGATTCTAGAACGTTGTTGTTGACCCATTGTGAGGTGTTTCAATTTTCTTCTAAACCAGTGGATCCTAAACATGTACTTATTGTGTACCCCTAATAAGCCATATGATCTCACTACATGTCCCTTTGGCAACACATTTGCAAGCAGATACCTTCCTGATAATTCCCATACCGTCTTATGGTATTCACCCATTATACATACACTCAATTGATAGAAAGGGAAATCAATTGACAGATAGTTATTTAAAAAATCTAACACATTGAACTAGATACAGCAGACAGAAGATTAGCTTACAACTAATAATAGCAACGGTGAAACTTATGATCTAATATGTGTCTCATTTTGTGTTAACTTGAAAGATCCTATCCATGACAAATCGGCTCATTTTTATTTGAAGGTCACAGTGTTTGGAAACTGTTCATGGAGATTTAGAATAAGTGTGATTGGAGAAGTGAGGAACCCTTGAGTCATGAAACCAGAGCGTGACCAAGGCCTCTTCAGTTTCTGGTTCACTGCAGTGTTAATGTGCAACAGGCTCCAGAGAGTGTCTGTGTGTTTGTGTGTGTGTGTGGTGTAAAGTACTTAAATAAAAATACTTTAAAGTACTACTTAAGTAGTTTTTTGGGGTATCTGTACTTTACTTTACTATTTATATATTTTACAAGTTTTACTTTTTCTTTTATTCCTAAAGAAATAATGTACTTTTTACTCCATACATTTTCCCTGACACTCAAAAGTACTCATTACATTTTGAATGCTTAGCAGTTCAGGAAAATGGTCTAATTCACACACTTATCATGACAACATCCCTGGTCATCCCTACTGCCTCTGATCTGGTGGACTCACTAAACACACATACTTCATTTGTAAATGATGTCTGAGTGTTGGAGTGTGCCCCTGGCTATCCGTAAATAAATAAATAAATACTAAATTGGTGCCGTCTTGCTTGCTTAATTTAAAGAATTTGCAATGATTTTTACTTTTGATACTTAAGTATATTTTAGCAATTACATTTACTTTTGATACTGAAGTATATTTAAAACCAAATACTTTTAGACTTTTACTCAAGTAGTATTTTACTGGGTCACTTTCACTTTTACTTGAGTAATTTTCTATTAAGGTATCTTTACTTTTCCTCAAGTATGACAATTGGATACTTTGTGTGTGTGTGTGTGTGTGTGTCATTCACTGTCTCGCAAAACACGACACGCACAGCTGGTGGTGGGCTGGTCACCAATCACATACCTCTCATTCTCAGGCATTCTCTTTCAGCAGGCACTCATTCACTCTCTCTCTCTCTGCCCTTGTGTCTCTCTCTCTCTCTCGCTCTATCGCTCTCTCGCTTTCTCTCTCTCTCTCCCTCATTCGCTCTCTCTCTCTCCCTCATTCGCTCTCTCGCTCTCTCCCTCATTCACTCTCTCTCTCGCTCCCTCATTCACTGTCTCTCTCGCTCCCTCATTCACTCTCTCTCGCTCCCTCATTCTCTCTCCCTCTGCCCCTGTGTCACTCTCTCTCTCCCTCATTCGCTCTCTCGCTCTCTCCCTCATTCACTCTCTCTCGCTCCCTCATTCACTCTCCATCTGCCCCTGTGTCACTCTCGCTCTCTCTCTCTCTAACTCATTCACTCTCTCTCTCTCTCTCTCTCTCCCTCATTCACTTTTTCACTCTGCCCGTGTCTCCATCCAATTTCAATTTAAGGGATTTATTGGCATGGCAAAAATATGTTTACATTGCCAAAGCAAGTGAAATAGATAATAAACAAAAGTGAAATAAACAATAAAAAATTTACAGTAAACATGACATTCACAAAAGTTCCAAAAGAATAAAGACATTTCAAATGTCATATTATGTATATATACAGTGTTGTAATGATGTGGAAATAGTTAAAGTACAAATGGGAAAATAAATAAACATAACTATGGGTTGTATTTACAATGGTGTTTGTTCTTCACTGGTTGCCCTTTTCTTTTGGCAACCGGTCATAAATCTTGCTGCTGTGATTGCACACTGTGATATTTCACCCAGTAGATATGGGAGTTTATCAAAATTTGATTTGTTTTCGAATTCTTTGTGGATCTCTGTAATCTGAGGGAAAATGTGTCTCTAATATGGTCATACATTTGGCAGGAGGTTAGGAAGTGCATCTCAGTTTCCACCTCATTTTGTGGGCAGTGTGCACATAGCCTGTCTTCTCTTGAGAGCCAGATCTGCCTACGGCTGTCACGTCCTGACCTTAGAGATCACCTGTATTCTCTGTTTGGTTAGGTCAGGTTGTGATTTGGATAGAATCTAGTGTATCTATTTCTATGTTGGCCGGGTGTGGTTCCCAATCAGAGGCAGCTGTCCATCGTTGTCTCTGATTGGGGATCATACTTAGGCAGCCATTTTGCCTACCTTTAGTTGTGGGATCTTGTTTCTGTTTCGGCTTGTTGCTGTTAGTGGTTAGAATGTCACGTTCAGTTGCGTTTGTTATTGTGTCAAGTGTTTATTTAATAAATTAAACATGTACGCATACCACACTGCACCTTGGTCCGATCCTTCATACAACGAACGTGACAGAAGATCCCACCACCAACGGACCAAGCAGCGTGGCCAGGAGGAGCAGACTCCCTGGACACAGGTGGGGAAGACATTTTGGACATGGGAGGAGATATTAGCCGGTAAAGGACCCTGGGCCAAGGAAGAAGCCCAGGCAGGAGAGGCTCGACGCCGACGGTGCCGACCGCGAAGGAAGCACGAGAGGCAGCCCCAAGATAAAAATTTTTTTGGGGGGGTCACACGGAGCAGAAGGAGGCCCCGAAAGGGCTGACTGTGGAGGAAGAGGAGGCCGCTATTATAGAGGTCCTCCAAGACATGCAGCTCAGCACTCTGAGAGAGGAGATAACTACCTTACGGGGGCTGTTAGCTAAGCGAGAGCAGGAGAGCTCCCTTCAGAGGGAGGCGCTGCAGGAGGCCCACAGGGAGAAGGAGTCAGTGGATGCACGGAGAGAGGAGCTGGCTAGGCAACGGGAGGAGCTGAGAGAGGAGTTAACCCTAGAGCAAAAGAGAACGCAGTCCTTAGAGCAGAGGCTGGCGGAGTAGAGCCAACTCCCCGCACTCGCGTTAAGGAGCGTGGGACCATACAGGCACCCTGTTATGCTGTGATACGCACTGTATCTCCAGTGCACATTCACAGCCCGGTGGGCTTGGTGCCCGCGCCCCGCTCTTGCCGGGCTAAAATGAGCGTTCAGCCAGGACGGCCCGTACCTGCTCCTCACACCAGACCAGTGGTGCGTGTCTCCAGTCCAGTATGGCCTGTTCCAGCGCCACGCACCAGACCTCTAGCGAGGGTCCTCTGCTCCACTCCGGTGCCAGAGCAGTCCGCTCCACCGGTGCTAAGTCCAGCTCCGGTCAGCTGCTCCTCTCCAGTGCCAGACCAGTCCACTCCACCGGTGCCTAGTCCAGCTCCGGTCAGCTGCTCCACTCCAGTGCCAGACCAGTCCGCTCCACCGGTGCCTAGTCCAGCTCCGGTTATCTGCTCCCTATCAGAGCCGGGGCAGTCCGCTTCACCGGTGCCAAGTCCGGGTCCAGTCGTCTACTCTTCCCCCATGCCGGAGCCAGACGTCAACCCCTCTCCAGGGTCGGGGCCTCCCACACCAGGGTCCAGACAGGACTTGGTGCATCGTGGGAGGACTGAGAAGGGGAGCATCGCGCCGGGGTCCAGACCGGACCGGGCGTGCAACGGGGAGGCAGGATGGGAGAGGCATTTACTGCCTACGTCACGTCCGAAGCCGGAGCCGCCGCCGAGGCTGGAAGCCCACCCGGATCCTCCCCTAATGAGTCAGGTTTTTGCGGCCGGAGTCCGCACCTTTGGGGGGGGGGGGGGGGTACTGTCACGCCCTGACCTTAGAGATCACCTGTATTCTCTGTTGGTTAGGTCAGGGTGTGATTTGGATAGAATCTAGTTGATTATGTTTCTATGTTGGCCGGTGTGGTTCCCAATCAGAGGCAGCTGTCCATCGTTGTCTCTGATTGGGGATCATACTTAGGCAGCCATTTTGCCTACCTATGATGTGGGATCTTGTTTCTGTTTCGGCTTGTTGCTGTTAGCCTTTAGAACTTCACGTTCAGTTGCTTTTGTTATTTTGTGAAGTGTTTATTTAATAAATTAAACATGTACGTATACCACGCTGCACCTTGGTCCGATCCTTTATACAACGAACGTGACAACGGCGGCCTTTCTCAATAGCAAGGCTATGCTCACTGAGTCTGTACATAGTCAAAGCTTTCCTTAAGTTTGGGTCAGTCACAGTGGTCAGGTATTCTGCCACTGTGTACTCTCTGTTTAGGGCCAAATAGCATTATAGTTTGCTCAGTTTTTTTGTTAATTCTTTCCAATGTGTCAAGTAATTCTCTTTTTGTTTTCTCATGATTTGGTTGGGTCTAATTGTGTTGCTGTCCTGGGGCTCTGTGGGGTCTGTTTGTTTGAACAGAGCCCCAGGACCAGCTTGCTTAGGGGACTCTTCTCCAGATTAATCTCTCTCTCCCTCTGTCCCAGTGTCACTCTCTCTCTCTGTCCTGTCCTCCACTCTCCCTCTCTCCTCCTGCACTCCTCTCTCGCTCCCCTTGTCCCTCTCTCCTCCTGCACTCCTCTCTCTCCCCTTGGTCCTCTCTCCTCCTGCACTCCTCTCTCTCCCCTTGGTCCTTTCTCCTCCTGCACTCCTCTCGCTCCCCTTGTCCTCTCTCCTCCTGCACTTCTCTCTCTCCCTTGGTCCTCTCCTCCTGCACTCCTCTCTCTCCCCTTGTCCCTCTCTCCTCCTGCACTCCTCTCTCTCCCCTTGGTCCTCTCTCCTCCTG